ATCGTGTAAATATCACAGATATAGGTTAATTTTATAACAAAGCACAGGTATAAGTTTTACTTTATCACAAATCACAGGTATAAGTTTTACTTTATCACAAATCACAGGTATAAGTTTTACTTTATCACAAATCACAGATATCAGTTTTACTTTATCACAAATCACAGGTATAAAGTTAATTTTATCACAAATTACAGATATAAGGTTAACTTTATCACAAATTACATGTATAAGGTTAACTTTATCACAAATCACAGGTATAAGATTAACTTTCACACAACTCACAGGTATAAGTTTTACTTTATCACAAATCACAGGTACAAGGTTAACTTTATCACAAATTACATGTATAAGGTTAATTGTATCACAAATCACAGATATAAGGTTAACTTTATCACAAATTACATGTGTAAGGTTAACTTTATCAAAAATCACAGATATAAGGTTTATTATGTCACAAATCACAGGTTTAAGGTTAACTTTATCACAAATCATTAACATAACGTTAAGGTAATATTTACACGTATTTATAACGTAAATCACATTTTCAATATTTCTAAATTTTCAAGCTGTAAAACTATTATAAATAGTGGATAAAAAAAGTAAAAATGTAAGGTAGCATTTTAATTCAAATAAGTTTCATGATTCAAGTGCAGGTTGTGGCAATTTTATTTGATAAGAACAAAAGTAACAGCCCTGAGGTATATATACAATATTCATATCTAATTTTATTTCTCACACAACAATGTAGGAAAATCCTACCTCCCCCAAGGCTACCCTCTGATAAGCAGAGGGTTTAAAGGAGTGTTACAAACATTTCGAGATTTGTCCTTCTCGTCAGTGTTTTAAGTTTTATTTGTAGTAAGACTGCTACAGGTATATTATAAATGAACATTATCAATTTGCTTTCAGTTAAGATAAATTTAAGTATATATGTATATATTAAACATATTATCAAAAGTACCAGTACAAATTTAGGATTTAAAATATTTCCAATACAAATATAGGATTTAAAATATTTCTAGTATGGTGTCGTGATATTCGTAAGATAATTCATTATGTAATCAAAATACTTATTTAAAACAAAGAACAATGATATTGCATATAATATTGACATTCCCCATATGACATGGGGGGTGCATTACTGACAATATAGAAATACTTCATCAATTACTCAGCCCGACCACACTGCGGTCGACCGATCGTACCTGTGTTAATGGCTAATCTGCGATGCAATACATCACCGCAAGGTAAGCAATGCCTGTGGCGTTTATAACGGCGGGATTTACGCTAGAATTCAGAACAGAAAGAACGCGATGATCCTCTGCGATTATTTAATCTAAAGATCTAACAGTTTAGTCCAACTTGTGACGCCCATGCTGTGAAAGTTACACGTGATTCTGCCCCCGCACGGTTCCATATCGCTGTTATTCAATCATCGGCATTGTAACATGTTGCAGGTCTTACAGATATACAAACATATAAAATCGGACAAAGCACGCAGCTGTCAGGAAATGCCATCGATTTAAGTTACTTTTAATTGACGTTAATCGATTCTGATCCGCCTTGCGGTACAAAACTTTCAAGGAGAGGTGCTGGAGTGACAACGGCATGTACATGTTTTTTTTTTATCCGGTAAAGATGAAACGATTTTCATCTACAAAGGGTCACCCTAATATCACAGGGAGGTAGGTATAAGATAAATATACGAAACAGACAGCAAAGCTATAAATGTAGCAAAAACAAACATTTGTGACACTTTGTCACACTTCTGTTCATCAATCCATCACCTCTCGCACGTGTTTACATGATATGTCATACATTTGGTCACGTGATATTGTCTTTGTGACGTCATTCTTTTGTTTCCAATTTCCTCAGACACGCAACGCAGGGTAATAGATCAGGTCGATATTTCGGGCGTGAAACATATAAAAAAAAAATACACCACACGATCAAAAACTCTTTAACATTCAATTTCGAAAATCGTTTATTTCATCACCTATTTGAGAAATGTGTAGACGTCTGTTCGTATGTTTAGCGTTGTGTTCAAGTCTTTTATTTTCATTCCTAAAAATATATGTCACTGTCATTCAATGTACATGTTTGTACTATAAATAAACAAAAGTGACAACGTTCTTGAAACAGATTGTAAAACATTAGTTTATGAAAAATGAAGTGAAAAAACACCATCGCTAACCAAACATTTATAAAAATATCTAAATAAAGATATTAAAAGGAAAATGATATAATTTTGCTTAGTGTCTTCTGTGGTCACTCGAAAAACAACTCGTAGTTTTGAGCCGTTAAACCCCCTTCAATGAAATAACAATGGGCTCATTTCTCTTGTGGTTCAAAACTATAAGTTGTTTTTCGAGTGACCACCACAACAGACCTTATACTGAACAGTATAGAAAAACTGAAAAAAAAAATTCTTCTGCTATATATCAACTTTCGTCAGGACTTTTTTCAGTACAAGTCAATTTCGAATTCGTTGTCCCTTTAAGACTATTAGAACTGAACTTGGATACGTACCGCGCCTACCACCTCATATAGACTAATACCGTAACGTTCAGAAAAATAATTATAAAGTTTTGAGATGCCTCCAAGCAGTTGGTTTAATATACAAATAGTGAGATTTACACACAAAATAGCGGTGTTCACCTGGGCTAGATTTTGTAGAACGCGCTGTGTTAGGGTATCGTTTTATTTCGTCGGTCGAAAATTCTAAAACACAAGGTATACGCTAATTCTAAAGATCTGTTTGATTAATATTTATTGTATATATAAGTGTTAGTGTACAAATACATTCTCCTCACTTCACAAGATGTAGAAGAAACGAGACCTCTTAATACCTAACAAACACTCCTCGAAGTCAGTACACACACTTGAAATTTCTGGTAACGACACTTATCAGACTTGAGCACAGCCAATACAGCATGTTTCGCGAGCACTAACAAGAGGAGAAGTAGACAGTTTGTGTAAACAATATCATCAGATCTTCACGATAACTACAGGTGTAATCTTACCATCATAAAATCACCAGGAAGAATGTTTGAATTCTTTTATGAAACTATATTGGATTATAGTCTAATAGATATTAATCATTTTTATTCGCTCTTACTGTTTCTAAATTTAATTGCATTATGAATCTTACCTATAGCGACATTGAGATATCATTAGATATTGAATGTATCACCAGTACTTTTTACAGAATACAGTTATTAACGATAGATTCCAAATTTCTGATAAATTCTCTTTATAGATACTTTGTCCCCAAACGACCAGGATTCTAGTTGTTTCAAATCAATATTCCTTCATTACGACGTTTAACCCAGACCCGATACATTGTAGTACGATTCGAGGTTGAAAACGTTTAAAAAAACACAAAAACAAAACAAAACAAAGAAACGTAAACAGATTTTCTCTTCTGTGTTATCTATAGGTATACCACTTGTTGGCGTGAGGTGGACAATTTTAAGTAAGTATACAAACCCTGTTAGACATATCTAACTATGTAGCTACCTAGCTTTATAGCTATGAGATGCTATTGAACATCTAGAATTGTTCTTGTTTGTTAACAAGGTATTACTCCATCATAAATATTGTAATCAGAGCTATCTCCCCTACCTCCATCACCACATATCAATCATAGCTAGCATTTATCTGTAATTTCGCTATCAGTGAATACTATCTTACAAACTGCACTTTAACAAAACCACACGTTAATAAAACTGCACGTTAACAAAAACTGCACCCTAACAAAACCGCACCTTAACAAAACCGTACCGTAACAAAACCGCACCTTAACAAAACCACAACTTCACAAAACCGCACCTTAACAAAACCGTACCGTAACAAAACCACACCTTAACAAAACCACAACTTCACAAAACCACACCTTAACAAAACCGTACCGTAACAAAACCACACCTTAACAAAACCACAACTTCACAAAACCACACCTTAACAAAACCGCACCGTAACAAAATCACATCCTAACAAAATTGCACTCTAACAAAACTGCATCCTAAGTTAACAGACCGTTTACTAACAAAGCGACAACGGACAAACTGTCTATCAACAAACCGTCCACTCATTTTAACAGGATCTTCTAACAGACATGTCCTCTGATCAAAAACTATAAATTGTTTAACGTCCTATCAACAGCAAGGGTCATTTAAGGAAACCTCCAGATGCATACGTGGTGAGTTTATGTGAAGAGGGTATGTGTTTCGGAAGGCTGTGATATGTTCTTGTTAGTCTTCTTGTGATGATGAGAAACTGAAACCGAATTTATAGTGCTACCATACCGAAATAAACTGACTAAAACACGCAGCGGCACACCCAATATTGTACTGACAACAGGCAAACCAGATTTTCCTTTACCATAAAATTGGGCGCTAAGAAAAGATCGAATAGCAACTAACATTTTAAAGAGTTTGGTAAATCTGGGTCAAGGGATAGTGCCCTAAGTATTCCACGCATGGGTGAACGCTTTACTTACACAATATAAGTCAAAAAGTGAGACAATGTGAAGGGAGGCATTGGGAACAAGAAGGATCTTTAGACAAGAGATCCCAGAGAGATCTTGGCATCCGCCATTGTTTGATCTTTTTTGTTTTTTAAAAGTTGGATTTTTCCCCTTCTTTTCTCTTCTGTTCTCTGTTTTTGCTCTAAATTATAAGAACTTTGAAATTCCCTCTCTTAATCCTAAAATTGTTCACGGAAGGACGGACAGACGGATGTAGGGCTATCTGAATAGCCCAACATCATCAGATGGTGAGCTTAAAGAGTGAAAATATTCAGATCTCAAATTTAGTCGCCTCTTTCGATCATGCAATGGCGGCATGAGGTACCATTCTAACACCATGCAAGCAGGACAAAACATTGATGATAATTAAAAAGTGTCTCGTGAGAGAATAGCAATATTCAAAAAATTATTTTTGACATAACTATAATTTTCAATAATTTATAAATCAATAAATGAATATCGTACTTACTCGTATTCCGAGTTTACTATTATGTTGGTTGATCATGGCACGATGGTCTTTGCCCCTCCGTCGGGCCCGTCGCAGAAACCGTCTCGTAAACCGGAAGCCATACTTGACATTGTCGCCACAGCCACCCCATCGCCATGCCTCCTTATTTTGAAGACTCTGAGACTCGTCACAAGTACATCTGTCTAGGCGCCCACTACTACACGCACGTGCAAATTCGTGTACTAAGCTGGCAGAAGACATCGCATAAAGGAAAGATGTTTCTTTGAAACCTGTGAAAAATAAACCATCGATATCAAAACACACCAACAAACAAGGCAAGAACATAGTTTATCATTACCTCTACAAACAATGAAAAAAGAACACGTTTTTTGAAGTATATATACAACGGGAAGCGGGAAACAATCCGAAAACAAACTGAAACAAACCATCTACAAGAAACCACTTGTGTAAAAATCCGATATTACTTTGGGAGAACATTTTTGAATTTATGAGCGGTTTCTTGACGATTTTATACCCGTTTGAGAAATCAATGACTTTAAGTTGGTAGGTAGTAATTAGATTTTGTTGAATTAGCTAATACTACATTAAAACGGTTTATAGATATTAATTATCACAATAAAGGCAATTACGAAAATAGACTGGTTTTTATCGTCAACTAAGTTTGTTCACGGTCGGGTCACGGTTCTATCAACGATGTTTTGTTTACGTAAAGTGATAAAGTACAAATCAAACTGAAAAAAAGATACAACATTGTCCAAAATGGTCACACCATTAATTCTGGTTCATGTTGTCTCCTACAACGTTTGTTAGCTACAGGTTTACTACATCATTGACGTATGTTGATGTTCTGGTAAATTTACTATCAATTTTGTAGATTATACATTTTCTGAAAACCATTAATTATTGTAAGACGTTTCTTCATTCATCAATTCTTACTGCTTTTGGCACTCTAATTCATCAAATAAAAATGTTAACATGTTTGGTACTTTTCTAATTGTCATTAGATCCGAGTGAAACGTGAACGAAGCTTAAACGCTCGTAGATAAGACAGTACTTTTAAGGAGATGGATAAATGTTCGAGGATACGAGCGTACTTTTAAGGGGCGATCTAGTTTACTTGGTGTTTAAATCTTTTAATAGTCAGAGATTTCATATAAACTATTTGGTTACTTAGGCATGTCAAAAAGAAGAAATATCGTCAATCTTAATCATCAATTTAAGATTCATCAAGATTTTACAATCTTTAAAACATTTCTTAATAAAAACAGAAACTCTGTAAAGGAAAAAATGGAAAATCCGTTTCTTAGTCATTTTTTCCCTTTCGAAAATTAAAAAACACTTAGCAGTGTACATTAACCATATAGGATCGTCGACCTGACTCCTACTTTTCATAAATATTCTCAGGTAAGGGCTTGGTATTTACAGGGAGGTTCATGGTAGTATCGTTTTTTTACAGGTTTATTGTAAATCTCCTTGTCATTTTACAAGTAAAACCCAATCATTGAAACGTGAATGTTTAATACATGGCTTGTTGACGCGAGAGGGGCGTTGTGTTTCTGTCTTATTGGCATTTTAGTGGGAGTGTGAGGCAGGTAGCCACTCTGTATAAAGGACAAAGCTTCCGTCAGAATCCTCATACACCAGACAAATGACATGTGAAATATCTCCCGTCACCCTGGTGGTCTGCACAACAAAATCATTTAAAGTAATCGTTTAGCAATTAAGGCCATCCGCACTTCTTTACCCTCGCGTAGGTAGATCATTTTTTCAACAATCATCAGTCAGTTTGTAAAGGCGCATGAATACACCGGTATCTGTCATGGTGAACTGACATTAGATTCCACTTCAATCAGCCAGCCAGGTGTTTCGCTTGGAATGCAGTTTACTGAGGCATGCACGTCTTTCGTTCTCTGTATTTAGTTAGTTTTCACAACTGAACATACTTCGGGATTTTCTTCACGCCATTTAGCAAATGTACGCCCATCCCCTTTGTATAAAATGCGGACAGAGCGCGGAGTATCAATAGTCATTTACGAGATTGGACATATTAAAGCAGCAACTATATGTGCTGGTAGAATTGTTAAATGAAGCTTTTAGTACTTAAGCGTCGCACACCTTAACATATTTATGACTTGATGGAGTCAACACAATCTACCATCGAACACATAGAACGTACTGGAAGTTGACAACTACCTCCACCCCCTCCCAACATCTCGCGGTATTAATGCCGGTAACTCCACACTGCTGTTCTCTAATATTTAGACATAGAAGAAGACGGTTTATTAACCCGTCTTTCAATAACCAATACTTTGGTGATGTCATGACGTCATCACACGCGATCACATATATCAACAATGCCCAAAACACAAGACAAAATTGTAACGTTATGCTCAGAGAAAACCCCTGATTTATTCCACTTTTTCTTATAAAGTTCCCGGGTTGTTTCTTTGCGTTTGTTAATTACGGTCTGTGCTAATCCGTGCGAGGCTTTTTCATCTTTGAGTCTGGGTCATTTATGTGTTTTAATTAAGATCGGTGTTAATGTAACTACACATAATTGCGTGTGTTTATATTTGGTACCTTAACTCTATCATGGTGAAAGAATCTTAAACGTTTTACTTAAACTTCAGTCAACAATACCGAGTAGATACCTACAACGATGACTGACCTCGCACGGAATTTGTAATCCTGTCACTCTCACGCTTGTTAACAAAGTGATGACAAGGATAAATCTAGTATGTCCACTTCTACTGATCATAGTCGTTAACACGCTTATCAAAACTTATTCTGGTCAAAGTCGTCAACATTCTTATCAGAGATGAGATATGAAGTCCGCGACGCTTGTTTCAGAATCCCGTAAAGCCAGACGATGGCGTTTGTTTTCCGTGTTTACTATATTTTTCCAAGATGTTTCCGAGAGTTTTGTATATCGATGACCTCATATTGTTACAGTTAGGGCTAATGATACTTGAACATTCCTCGTAAGTAAGTAAGTAAGAAGTCTACAGGCGGCCTTATCTGGTCACAAGATAATAAATAAACAGACATGATACCCATATAAGCTCTTAATCATGGCTGGGTGGCAAGGGACATCACTCTGCCTTCCGAGTACGTAGTGAAAGTAAACATTCCACGGGTTACGTCACCAGCTGATAAAGGTCCACTCTCCCAGGCATGGGAATTCTATCCTATCCGATAAATTTAATTTGTCGAGTAGTTACAATACTATTTACATCTGAACCTTTTTTTATGTATATTGACAATGTATGTAATATTTTGTTTGTTTCTTAAGGATGTACTCCCCTTAGAACTAATAAAAATCTAGTATGAAAGTTTTTTCTGGTGATGTTTTTTTTGAAAGGGTATGATTTTAGAAAGTAGACTTTAAGCAAAAAAATCGTCATGTTACCGCACTACTTTTTCCAGTACAGAACGTCTGCTAGTATTACAATTTTTTAAATTTACGTTTGGATAGAGAAATTTTCGCTGATACTTTTCATTATCTAAAAAGAGTGGGTCACTGTGTTGTAACTTTTGCAATTTTCGCCAAAAAAGATCCAAAATCAAGAAACAAGCTGACTTATTTTTTTTTCGGGTACAAAATTTCCGGGAAAAAGGTTCACTTAGTCAGGAAACTGAAATCTGTGATTTGTGGTGATAATTAATACAAAATTTAGTTGAAATCTACCTAAGATTTGTAACGTTATACTCAGATGAAGTACCTTAACAACCAGAAAACGTTGGAATTGTTGACGTCATAAACCGAATCACGCCGTCAACTACACCGTCATAGGTGTAATCCTCGAACGAAATTTCTTCAAAATGTCATATAAATCTACCGTTTTCAACTTAGAAGTAAAACTATAGATGCCAATGTAAAATAAAAAGACAAATAGTCCAAAATATTATGTTTGAATTCATTTCATATTGAATGATGTCTTACTTCCGGTTAACACCTCAGAGGAATACATCCTTAACCGAAACCCGCTGTCAACTTCGCCATGAAATGTAGTCCACAAGTGAACTTTCTCCAAAGCGTTATCAGATTAAAATTTGTAAGTATAACTGTAGATAACAAAAGGTTAAAGACTGCCAAAACACCGAGAAGTTGGAGTTCATTTTTTAATTATTTTTTGTCTTACTTCCGGTCAAACGTACATCCTTAACACATTATTATTTTAACATTAAGATTATTGTAAATTTTATTTACTATAACACAAAATAACTACTAACGTACCGGCGGAGGTTTCGAGACTACTGTAAATGTTAGTTACTCTCTAACACAAAGTAACTACTGACGTACCGGCGGAGGTTTCGAGACTACTGTAAATGTTAGTTACTCTCTAACACAAAGTAACTACTGACGTACTAACAGAATTTTGGAGACTACAGTAAATGTTGATTACTCTCGAACACAAAGTAATTACTAACCTACTGACAGAAGTTTGGAGACTACTGTACATGTTATTTACTCTCTAACACAAAATAACTACTGACGTACTGACAGACGTTTCGAGACTATTGTTAATACTGCTCTTACACATACATTCCTTTCTCATCAAGTCGGCAATAATGCCACAAATATGAACAAATGACTTTGCGCATAATATTGTTATTGGTTTTGGGCAACCGTATTGGTCAACTGTGCTGGTCAACAGCACCGGCCAACTGTTCTGGTGAACGGTGCTTGTCAACTTCATGTATTTCACTTCAAAATGTCGCGTTTTAAACGATCACAGAAAACACAGAAATTCGCAATAATCAAAACTCCTCCGTCGGACGTTAAAAATGATTCTAATAAAAAAGTATTGGAAAATGCCCAAAAATTCCATATGATGACGTATTTGTACTGAGATAAATATCATAAAGATGACGTAACGAGATTTATTGTTTCGAACTGGTTATTCCTGTGAACCATTTGCACTCACTTCTTTACCAGAAAAAAAGGACCCTTGGAGAATATGATTTATAAGTTTTGTAACATACAACGATACAAAAAAACAAGCAGGCAGCAGGGTCACAATTACACGACCGACTATAGAACGTGTAATTGACACCTGTCATACCACTGAAGTATCTCGTAAGGAACGGCTGAGGACTTCTAGGGGTGTAGTGGAGGCAGAGAACCAACTTACTGGCGAACGTAAAAAAACGTTTGGTGGATCAGCACCATCCTGGTTATACAGAAAGTTGTAATACTGTCAACATTTTATGGCCAAACATTTGTATAATTATTATAGACGGCTGTTCATGATAAGTTCTGTATATC